CGTCCCTCGATCTGGGAATCACAAGCCATCGATGCATATCTGATATTGAGCGCTCATGCGCGCATACGAATGCGTGGAAGGAATTCAAAGAGTTACATTTCAGGCTGAATCAAGGACGCACGATAAGAATCCAAGAATGTGAAGTTTTTCCTAAAGGTTCTGCAGCCTCTCGAGGATAAATACAGACGTCTCTGTACCGATCCGCGAGACTCTACTAAACCTGCTCATGACTCGTGAGACCTATGTAACCTAGGCTCTGATACCAACTTGTCACAGCCCTAAATCGACCCAGTCGTGATGGCGCCTATCATGGAACTAGGACAGCCGACACAACTCCCGAATTAATCATTATTCAATAAGTCATTTTTATACCATTTATTAATAAACAAATACCATTTATTTAATCAACAATCTCATGATGTAAGTCTAAATGAAAAGTGCGGAATAAATACACATGCCCGACATCGGGGTGTCACAAGTCACGAGCATCTACTAAGGTCTGAACACAACTAAGAATCTAAAATGTACTAAATACAGTCTAAGGAAGACAAGAGGGAGAAAAGCAGTGCTGCGAACATCGGGCAGCTACCTTGCTAACTCCAATGACTCTGCCACTGAGCAATCAACACCCGATACGGGGTTCAAAATAATACCAGAATCTGCACACAAGGTGCATGGAGTAATGTGAGTATGCCAACTCAGTAAGTAATAAAAGTAAATGAAAGCTGAGCAGTAAGAAAACACGTAAGCCACGTCATAACGCTACAGCAAATGCAATACATTTCCAAAATAGTACAGAAATCATTTACTTCGTAAAACATGCTCAATTTCAGTAAAAACCTTTTTAAAACAACTTTCAATAATTTTAAAACGAGTGACAAAACAGTGAGTAAGAATGATAGAAACGTAAACAGCCCATCGGGCAAAACATGTACCATGAACCGCCCCTCGGGCATAATATCAACCGAACCAGCCTCTCGGACTGCCTCACAATTACTCGTAATCAGCCCCTCGGGCATAACATGAATCAAGATCCGCCCCTTAGGCAACATGGATCAAGAATAACCCCTTGGGCTTCAATATGAATCAACAACAGCCCCTTGGGCTATAACACATCACACACACTGGGTACCCGCACTCACTAGGGGTGTATAGACTCCGGGAGGGGCCCCTTACGGCCCAAGCGCAATATCAAGCCATCTTGTGGCATAATCAAACAGGCTCTCGGCCTCATATCAATCACAAGCCACCTCGTGGCATAATAAATCAGGCCGTCGGCCTTTCATATATCACAATTCGGTACCACATGCTGCGGCGCGCAGCCCGATCCCATGATATCCTCACAACATAGGTCCTCGGCCTCACTCAGTCAGATCTCACTCAAGCCCCTCGGGCAGACAGTAAAACAAGTACTCGGCTGAAAATCATTTATGAAATCAAAAGGAGTGAATAAAACCGAGTCATGAAAACAGTAAGAACACAGCATGACTGAGTGTAAACATTAAACCAAAACAGTGAGGGAAAACAGTAGTAAAAGCCCCTAAGGGTCCAAACAATCGGCACAAGGCCCAGACACGGCATTTAGCCCCAAACACAATAATATTTTCCAAAATACAGCAATAACAATAGTTTTCAAGTAAAATACGCGACTTAATAGTCGTACGGGATGGACCAAGTCACAATCCCCAACGGTGCACGACCCCACGCTCATCATCTAGCGTGTGCGTCACCTCAAAGTACCACAACGATGTGGAATCCCGAGGTTTCATACCCTCAGAGCAGTATTTACAATCATTACTTACCTCTATCCGGTCCAAACTCTAGCCCGCGATGCTTTTGCCTCTCGAATCGGACTCTAGATGCTCTAAATCTAGCAAAAATCAGTACATAACCATCAAAATATGCTAAGGGAGCAAAGCCACTCAAAAGTAATCAAAATACCGCGTAATTCCCAAAATAAACCAAACCCGACCCCCGAGCCCACGTCTCGGAATTCGTTAAATTTTACATCATTAGACTCCTTATCTCCCCACAAGTTCATACATATCAAAAGTACTAAAATCCGATCACAAATGACCCCTCAAACCCTTGCTCAAAAGTCTCCAATTCTCAAGCCCTAGTTTCCCAATTTTTAACCCTTAATTCCCATTAATTGTTGGCCAACACAGTAAAATAATGCAATAGGATCGATTACTAGGTTCAAAAATCTTACCTCCAATGATATCCTTTGAATCCCTCTTCAAAATCTCCCAAAAAGCTCCAAAGTCGTCTTAGAAATGGTGGAATAAATTAAAAAATTCGCGAAGGAAATCTTATATACTTTTTGGCCCAGGGTTTTCGCACCTGCGGCCCTTTCTCCGCTTCTGCGGTCCCGCTTCTGTGGCCTAGCCCACCGCACCTACGGTTTCCACTTAAAAGCTCCATACTGCATCTACGGTTAAAATATCGCACCTGCGCCATCGCAGGTGCGCCTCCTGGATCGCTTCTACGGTTTCAGCTAACCTTTTATTTGGGCGCATCTGCGGCTGCCTTCTACTATTCAAACTTGTACCAATCTTCGAATTACCTCAAACAACATCAAATCAACCAAAACACATCGGATTCAAGCCTAAGGTTCTCAAAATCTTCCGAATTACGCTTTTGATAAAAAGTCTATGAAACCATGTCCGAATGACCTGAAATTTTGCACACACATCCCAAATGACACAACGGACCTACTGCAACTTCCGGAATTCTATTCCGACCCCTATATCAAAATCTCACCTACCAAGCGGAAAATGCCAAAATTCCGATTTCACCAATTCAAGCCTAAATCTACTACGAACCTCCAAAACACGTCCCGGTCACACTCCTAAGTCCCAAATCACCTTACGGAGCTAACCAAATAAAAAAAATCCAAATCCAAGATCAAATACTAACAAGTCAAGACTGAGTCAAACCTTTCAAATTTAAAGCTGAGAATCATCCTTCCATATCTATTACGATTAATCTAAAAACCAAAACCGACGATTTACATAAGTCACAATGCATAATACGGGGCTGGTCATCCCCGAGAACTTGCGAGCGAAGTGCAAAAGATCAAAACGACCGATCGGGTCGTTACATTTTCTTCACTTTTCACCATTTTCAAGTTTAAGCTCGGCCTAGAGGCGATTTTGAAGAGGTTTTTTGTCCCAACTTCATTGATTAGTAGATTTTAAGTTTTTTTTTTATCACATTTTCATCAACACCCATTGATTTTAACCTTTAATCTAAGCTTTTTCATGGTAGAAATTAGGAATGGGTAGAAATTGTGATTTAGGCTTCCAATTGAGGTCAGATTTCGAAAATAATCACATAGCCGGGCTTGGGGGTGAATGGGTAATTGTATTTTGACCAAACGGGCCCGGGGTTAACTTTTGTTGACTTTTTCCAAAATCATCAGAGATTGAATGTTTTTCACTCGTGGGTAGTTTCTAAAGCCTATTTTGAATTATTTGAACTATATTTGGATAAATTTGATTGATTTAGAGGCCAACTCTAAAGGAAAAACTGCCATTGTGCCTTGATTTAGTTGCGGAGTGAAGTAAGTGTCGTGGTTAACCTTCACTCGAGGGATTAGGACTTGTTGGTCTATTTGGTATGTGTATTATGTATGGGGACGACATATATGTGAGGTGGCGAGTATATATGCTGTCATTGAAAACACTAGCTAATACCGTATACAATTAAGATATTTACTTTACCCTATATGCCTACTTTATAAATTTATTTTATCATGTATACCTACTTTATTAATTTAGTTTACCATGTATACCTATTGTATTCCAAATTAGAATATTGTAGTATGTTTGGTTTGGATAGTGTATTCCAAATTAGAATACTATAGCATGTTTCGTTTGAATATTGTATTCCAAATTAGAAAATTATCTTATGTTTGGTTTGGAGAGTGTATTCCAAATTAGAATGCTATAGCATGTTAGTTAGAATATTGTAGTATGTTTTGTTTAGATACTGTATTCCAAATCAGAATATTGTGATATGTTTATTTAGAATATTTTGTTCCAAATAGTTAGAATATTATACTCAATAGAATATTGCGGTATGTTTGGTTTGAATACTATGTTACAAATTAGAATATTTTGATATGTTTTGTTTGTATATTGTATTCTTCATTAAAATAAAGTGGTATGTTTGGTTTGGATATTATACTCTTTGTTAGAATATTGTGGTAAGCTAGGTTTGAATTTTTCAAATTAGAATATTATGGTATGTTTAGATTGAATATGTCTTCCAAATTAGAATATTCTGATATGTTTGGTTGAATACTATATTACAAATTAGAATATTATGGTATGTTCCATTTTGATACTGTATTCTAAATCAGAATATTGTGGATGTTTAATTTGAATAATGTATTCCAATTAGAATATTATAGTATATTTTATTTGAATATTGTATTCTTCACCATAATAGTGTGGTATGTTTGGTTTAGATAATGTGCTTTTTATTAAAATATTGTGGTAAGTTAGGTTTGGATTGTATTCCAATAGAATATTATGATATATTTTAGAATATATGGGAAGATTTGGAGGTATAGCGTGTAATATTTTTGGGATATTAGATGTAATTTCAAAACTTAGGTATACCATAAGAGTGAGTTTTACAAATGGGTATATTATGTAACTTCCTCTTTTACTTATCTCTGTATACTGTTCCATTCTAAACTATACTATAAAGCCTGAATTATTTTACTGTCGAATGTTCATGAAACTGTTCAATTTGCGCTTCATGCGTTGATTAATTTTGCAGGATAGTGACCAGCCTTTCCTGAATCCCTGATTAACTCATGAATTTGATATTTCTTTTATTTTGAATTAAAAGTAAACTACAAAATCAGGATACTGTGGCTAATATTTTGGACATTTCTCAATAAATTATTTCAAGTGTTGAATTCTAGCTTGGAGAAAAAGATTCATAGTTTTGCATCATAATCTACTCTAATATATCAGAATTACATGTTCCACCAAAATTAGGTTATATTTACCATGCTCAATACATCATCATGAATCATCGGCCTTCAGAGAGAAGGGAATCTGTTACCGATAGACAGCGGGAATGTACATTACCCAAAGACAACGGATATGACATGACAAAATCATCAAAACCACCGCGATGGTCAAATGTTAGGCCAGCTGATGAAACGCCGAGTGCTGATAACTCTGGCAAGGCCACAACACCATCCAAGAACAACAAGATTTGGCGCATGGTTGGCCTAAACGAGGGCTCTGAGTGAGAGCACAATAAGCCTAACTTTAAAACCAACTCCACTTGCCCTTCAACAAAATCAATGCCTATGTTTGGATCAACAGCCTGAAGAATATTGCCTCTATTCCAGTACGAGAACACCCAATCGACCAAAATCAGATCATCACTGTCTTGTCTTGGCTCTATCGGCCTCCTACCACAGGCAACTTCAAGCAGAAAAGCCCCAAAGGAAAATACATCACTACTAGGTGTTGCTCTACCAGTTCTAGTATGCTCTGGTGCAAGGTAACCAAGAGTACCAACGACACGAGTAGACTGAGGATCGGTTCCATGACCATATAGCCTCGCGAGGCCAAAGTCTCCTAACCTTCCATTTAGTTCACCATCCAACATGACGTTACTAGCCTTAATATCTCGATGAACAACTACGTGGTCACATTCTTCGTGTAGGAAAAATAGGCCTGACGCTACGCCTCTAATGACTCTGAATCTTTGGTTCCAATTGAGGGTGAATCTTGGTTGATCAAATAAGTACTTGTCTAGACTTCCATTAGGCATGTATTCATAAACCAAAAGCAACTCTCCTTTTCGCCTGCAATATCCTAAAAGTGGTACTAAATTCCTGTGTTGTATACGACCGATGCTTACAATCTCTGCAACAAACTCCTTCATTCCTTGTTGTGATTCTTGAGATATTTTCTTTACTGCTATCTCAAGTTTTAATATAGGCATCACTCCTCTATAAACTTTACCAAATCCTCCAGCTCCCAATAGTTCCTTTTCTCTGAATCCCTTAGTAGCAGTGTACAAATCTTTATACTTGAACCTCTGTGGTCTATAGTCAAGTTCCCAATCTTCAAGAAGTTCTTGAAATTTCTTCTTCCTTCTTATATAATAAACCACCACTGAAATTGCTATAACTAAAGATACCAAAGAGATTATTGGCAAACCAGTTGTTAAAAATCTTGGTAACTCTTTGCGCCTAAGACGAGGAAGATTAGGAAGTTGAGAAAGTTCTTGAGCTTTTCCATTTGTCTTGAAACTCCATCCCAATATATAATGATGTGTTGGGACTGAACCAGTTGATGATGAAAAACCAACATACATAGTCTGATCAAGAATTGGTGAAAGATCATATTTCAAAACCAAGAGTGGTCTAACTGGTTTTGTCACATATAATGGAGCTAATGTTACATTAATTTGCTGAGTGTTGGCATCATAATCCACCCAAACTTGCATTGGCTGGCCACTAATTAGAGTCAAGTTATGAAACAAACCAGTATCATCAAAATAACCTGCTGGTTGAACTGCTATAGACTCCAATCCATTGATATCAATTCCAACATGATTGTCATTAATATCATTGAATTCCTTGCTTATGATTGTATCAAGCTCAACTCGAAAAACATGGTTTGAACTATTTCCATTATTGGTTGAGTTAAAAAGGCCAAGATGGTGACTAGGAAAAGCCCCTTCAAGTCCTCTTTTTGGTGTGATAACGAAAACCAGTCCATGACCACTCAAATTTCCATAATCAGACCTTATAGCAAACACAAAGGTAGTGGAGAAAGAAAATGCTGTACCATTAGGTGAATTCTTGAAATGAATTGGATTTGGATAAAAAGCATGGCCTTGACCTTGTGTTTTAGAATTTGTTAATAACAAGAGATCATTGGATGTGAATTCAGCTATGCCATCCAAGCTAAGATTCCTTGATTGGAATCCATTGTAAATGAATCCATCAACTTCACAAGAAGTTGGTGCAAGATCAACTAAGAAGAAAGCCACTAGTATGACAACATTGAAAAACATTGGCAACGTTCTTTATTGGAAAACTATTGTGACCAAATGAAGCTTTATTCTACGGATTATATTGTTTTAATGCAGGCTAATTAATGAATCTTGGTACGTCAATGTCATAAAAAATGAGAAAAGTTAAAAAATGCATTAAAAATGTACGTGCAAGAAGCTATGTCCAAGTCTTCTATACTAATCCAAGAAGGTCATATTCCATGAGTCATTGGCCAAGTCTTCTCAAGTAATCCAAACAAAATCATCTAACAAGTTGGTTCATCATTTTTATACTAACATTTGGGCTACATAACAAACAAACAAAAAAGGTATACAGTCAAATCTCTCTATAACAGTTTCGTTTGTTCCAAATATTTTTGGATATTATAGCGAAGTGCTGTTATATAAAACTTATATCATTACATAACATGAAAAGTGGTTCCGGAAAAGCTTGGCTTTTATAGTGAAGTGTTGTTATATAGGAATGATGTTATATAGGGATGATGTTATAGAAAGCTCTGACTGTATTTCAAGTTTTCAACTGCAGCCCCTTTCTTCAAAAAAGGTCTGTTGGGATCGGCCTCTTTACTTTCAGTTTTTGCGACTGATTCAGTCACAAACTATAAAAATATTTTCGCGGTATTTTTCGCATAATTGAGCGACTGAATTAGTCGCAATTTGGAGCCAAAAAGAATTAATAAATATTTTTAATAAAGTTTCCAACCGAATCAGTCGAAAATTGCGACTGAATTAAGTCGGTGGGAATTATTCAGTCGCAAAATTGCTACATTTTTTAGTAGTGGTATGGGTAAGGTCTACATATATTTTACCTTCCCCAGACCACAGTTATGAAATTACACTGAATTTATTGTTAGTTGTTGTTGTCATCAATGGCGTGCATAATTTTTTATAAGCGATGTCACTATTTCTAGTAAGAGGCCCGTAACAGTCAAAACATATTTTGTTGAGCCAAGGGAGTTGGAACCCAAGACCTCTTACATCAAAACTTGAACCTATCAACCACTAGACTACTAAGTTGTTTTATTCCAAGTGGTGTCACTTTTAATGCTTTTATCTTGTATTTCTGTTTTACTTATTATTTTTATATATATAAATAGTAAAAAATATCGAGGAAGCGGTGTCCCGTGACACTGCTTGGGTCCATGTAAATCCGCCCCTGATTGTCATTACTTTCAATTGTTTAAGCAAAATGTAATAGCTTAATGTAGTAAAACATCTAAACCAGAAGATACGGAGTACACAAACTAAGGAAGATAAAATTTGTAGATTTACTAATTTGAATTAATAAAATGTTTTTTGAAATTAAATAAATTAATGATCGAGGTGTTTGATGCTAACCACTCAACAGATGTAGCACAAAATAAATAAATAAATAATACTCGTAACTAGGAAAGAGAAACACGTGATTGACCATTAGTAGGAATCTGTAAGCTCTGAAAATGATGTTGGCAAGTGGCATGAATTTAATAACATGCAATGAACCACATGTCCCAGTCCATCATACTAGGAGACATTTGCACAAGTTTATTTTCCAAGATTTGGCACTCCCTTTAGCAGGAAAATTGGAAATTTTGCATATATATTTCAATAACAGTACCATTCTCACATGGAATTGGATTTACATAGTTCATTTTCATTTGGAAACTTTCCAAGCTCTCGAATGGAATAAACGAAATAGTTAACCAGTAGTTGGAAGATTGAAAGAATTGGACCTTCGAAGAGTATAGTGAGATGGTTTGAATACCAAAATTTTCGAGTCCACGGGATGAAGAACTTTTTCGTAGGCGTGTTCAAAGGAAATCGCCAAATCACACTAAACTGATAATTTGAGTCAAATCGAGAAAAAAACCCCAACTATTGTTTACTTTGATTTGGTTTGGTGTTAGAAAAAAAATCCGACCATAGTTGGTTTGGTTTGGTTTTAACTAAAAAAAGTCAAACCAAAACCAAACCAACCCGGCATTACATGTATATAAGTTTTAAAAATATTTTATACATAAATATAATTATTGTAATGTAATTTACAAATATAATTTAAACTCTTTAATAGTTCTGGGTTGTTGTTGTTGTTGTTGTTGTTGTAAACTCTTTAATAGTTCTCTCTTTTAATGTATTATTTCAAGCTTGGACTTAGAACTTTTGAATGATCAAATATGTTTTATACCCCATAAAAGTTAGTAACTCAAATAAAGCCACGGCAAAATCAAATCAAATCAATACTAATGCTAACAAAAAAAAATCAATTCAATACTAGAATGACAATAGTATTGGATATTTTTCTTTGTATTGCATTGATTTAGATAGTGAAAATGCATAACTCACTTTTAATATTATTTAGTCATGTAATTAATACTTAGTACTTATTAGTTGTACTTATTTTAACATGACTTAGTACTTTTAGATTATATTTATTTTTATTATGGCTTATTAATTAGCAATATTTATCTTATGCGATTTGTTGAGTATAGTATAATCATGACTCATCCCACATTATTTTGTATTATTTTATTGGGTAACATCTTATATTGTTTTATCCTACTAGGACCTAAGAAATATTAGAGCACAAATTATAAATTTTATGCTATGAAGATTTTGTCGAAAAAAAAACCCGAATTAAACCCGAGAAAACCCGTGATTGAAAAATCCGGCTTTTGTTGGTTTGGTTTGGTTTATAAATTTAAAAATCCGAGACAATTGGTTTGGTTTGGTAATTAAAAAATTCGAACCAACCCGGCCAATGTGCTCCCCTACTTTTTAGTAGTGTTTGTGTTAGTGCATTTAACATAAAAATATACTATTAAAGTGCATTATTTCTTGTGAGATAGTGGTTATAAATTGACAAGAAATCCGACCCGGTGCAATAGCAGTTCGGAGTCAACAAATCCGACGCAGTGCAGAGCACACATCCATGTTGGGCCCACCAATGAACCCCAAATCAACTCTAGTCACCCACAACAGATAAATAACTCTTTGAAGGTTCACAATGACTGAATCATAGCACATACTACCCTCTGACTAACCTTAGCTATTTTCTCACAGTCCACAGTCACAAAACCATCTACTCACGAAAACACTCAGCCTCCCAATGCATAAAGCACACAAATCACCATATCCGATCCCAGCTACACTGCCCGAACATCTAACACACATCTGATACTTGATCATTCCACGAGGGATACTCCTATAATTCTTCTGTGCCGCCAAGCAGACTTTGAATATCAGTAGTCGATCAGACAAGACAGTACCGCAATACCGGTGAAGCACCCATGACCCTAACACATTGCCCTTTCTGAATTGCATACCCTCATCAAGCTACACCAATCAGTGATCTCATTTATCTAGTCATATGAAACTATCTATGCTGCCTAAGAATTTAGAACCTTCCTTCCAAAACTGAACCGTGACCTTACACATGCAAATTCTCAATCCCACACAACCTACCACATATACCATGCCATCCTGGGATAAACATAAGGACTTCATATCCATTCCGAGCCACAAGCAACTGCATACTCAACTAGTCAAGAACTTTCCATTGATCCCATCTAGAAGAAAATCACTACGCATCCCATGCTCCTCACGCCAATAGAAAATATACACATCTAACCATGGTAGAACTCATCAAGAACTCTCTGAATTCCCATTTGCACAAAACGCCCTCGGGCCCACGTGCCCGGAATTCGAAATTTTTTAAAGATAAAGATTACCCATGACCTTAGGAACTCAAATATATAATTTTCACTAAATTCCATACTCAATATCGTGGTCAAATTCGAAGAAATGCCAATTTCTAGGTTTTCCACCAAAACCTAAATTTTTCCATAATTTCCTTGCCTAAATCCATGTATAAACTTTATATCTAACTCGAAGCTAGCATAAATTACTTACCTCATGATGAGTGACGAAAATGGAACCTCAAAGCTGCTCCCCATCGACTCCAATGGAAGAAAAATGGGGTTGAAATGAACTCAACCCCAAACTTAAAAGACCTCACTGCTCCAGCTGTTTCCGCACCTGCGGTTCCTTGGACGCTTCTGCGGTTCCGCAGGTACGGCTAAAATGCCGCATCTGCGGTCTTTCCTGAGCCACCCCTTTCTCGCTTCTACGACTTGCCACCCGCATATGCGGTCCCGCTTCTGCGGAACTTTGACCGCATCTGCGATCTTCTCCATGATACTCCCATCCGCTTCTGCGACCCTTTCTCCGCAGATGCGATTCCGCTTCTGCGGTACCTTGACCGCATCTGCGGTCCTCAAGCCTTAGACCAAAACCCGCCTCTGCGGCTCCCTGTCCGCTTTTGCGCTGCCGCTTCTGCGGTCAACCTACCGCAGAAGCGAAAATACCAGCAACCAAATTCCTTCAGCTGTCCAAAATCCAAATTTCGATCCGTTAACCACCCTGAATCCACCCGAGGCCCCCGGGACCCCAACCAAACATACCAACCAATCCCAAAACACATTACGGACTCGCTCGGGGCCTCAAATCACATCAAACCACGCTAAAATCATGAATCGACCTCCAATCCAAACTCAATGAACTTCAAAAATTCAAACTTCATTTTCCGATGTTTAAACCTATCAAATCACGTCCGATTGACCTCAAATTTTGCGTACCAGTCATATTCGGCATTACAGACCTATTCCAACTTCCGGAACCGGATTCCGACCCAATATCAAAAAGTCAACTTCCGGTCAAACTTCTCAAAACCTTCAAATTTCTATCGTTAGCCAAATGACTCCAAAATGACCTACGGACCTCCGAATTCACTTCCGATCGCGCTCCCAACTCCAGAATCACCATACGGAGCTATTCACAGACTCGGAATCCCAAACGGACATCGATAACATTGAAATGCACTTCAAGCCAAACTTATAAAATTTTTTCTAAAATGCTAACTTCCACGATAGGCGCCAAAACGCTCCCGGGTTATCCAAAACCCGATCCGGGCATACACCCAAGTCCGAAATCATCATACGAACCCGCTGGAACCTTCAGATCCCGATTCCGAGGTCGTTTACTCAA